GGGGGGAGGGGAGGAGTGGGGGAGAAGGTGTAGCTAGAGTAGTGGTTACCAACTAGTAGATCAAGATAGATACTGGTAAATCTTGGTGCCTCTAACAGGTGATCTTGAGGGATTTGTCCAAGAAGCTGTCAAGGTCTGGCACTTCCACTGCTGTGCAACTCCTGCTCTTTGCCTTGTAGCTGTCCCCCCTCTACCACCCAGTATTCTGTCCCTACAGAATAGGGAAGGGTGGAGACAACTGGGTTTGGGATGGAGGGAGTTGGCTGGCTGCTTTTGGGAGTGGTATAGGACCAAGATAAGGGTGTGAGCCTGTCTTAGCCCTCCTGCACCACCCCACAGGAGCCTCTTGTGGTAAGCTGTGTCCACCTGGAGCCAGCATCCTGAATCCCAGTCATGAACTCCCTCCTGTACCCCAGCCCCTGCCCTTACCCTGAACCACCTATGACACCCCAACCCCTGCCCCAGGCTCAGCTGAGAGCCCTTCTCACACTCCAAATCCCTTACCCCAAAGCTTGTGCCCCAACTCTCTGCCCCTGTCTGGTGAAATGGAAAAAGGATGGGAGAAGGAGGAAGGATGGAGTGAGCAGGGGCGGGGCCTTGGAGAAGAGGCACGAAGGAGATGGGGTAAAGGTATTTGGGTTTGAGGTAGATCCTGGGTGGCACTTAAATTCAAAAAAAAAAAAAAATCTCATACTTTAAAAGGTTGGAGATCACTGAGCTAGAGTATGCTTGTCTCCTCAAGCTGATGGCTCTCAAGGCAAGAATGCTGTTGTCTACCCTTACTGCGTGTTGGAGAGCATAATTCAGTACTTTTTCTAGAATAGATTGTTCCTGCAGTTGATCATAATTCTAGAGTAGTTGCAGTCTTCAGTCATTTGTAAGTAATCCTCTAATGGGTCGTTAAGCTACCTGAGTCACTTGTAAATACTGAATGAATTCATTTCATGTGATTCTTTGTTTCTCAGCCCAAGAGGAGGGTCCTATTAAAGGCTTTACAGATACAAGCTTTTGAGGGAAGAGAGATCTAATCAGGCAGTGGGTGGAGGTCAGGTGTCTGATCTTGGAGTATCTGTTCATGCTTTAGCCACCAAATGTGGGAGTGTTGATGGTGGCAAGAGAATACCTTTTATTCTCCTCAAGGTCAGATCTTTTTTTCTTGTCTCCCTTAACTCCTTATTGAAGCCTAATAAGTTCTGTGGCACTTTAAAGACTAACAGACTTATTTAGGCATAAGCTTGTGGGTAAAAGCCACTTCATCAGAGGCATTGGAGTGGAAATGGGAAGCAGGGATATAAAAGTACTCGTGTCAAAAGAAGGGAATTACTTGAAGGGTAAAATCAGTTTTAACAAGGCCAATCCCATCTGGGTGACTGCTCATTCCAAGGCTATGTCTAGACTGCAGACTTCTTTTGGAAGAAGCTTTTCTGGAAGAAACCTTCTGAAAAACCTTCTTCCAAAAGAGCGTCCACACTACCAACGTGTATTGAAAAAGCAAATTGCTTTTTCAAAAGATAGCATCCACACTGAATGGACACTGAATATCTTGCATTTCAACTTTGATTACCGTAGATCCTCATTTAACACTATAGATGTTTCAGAAAATGATCGTGTTAAGTGAAAATGTTATGCAGGGTCAATTTTCCCATTGAAAATAATGGAAAAGGTGGGTGTTGTGTTTCAAGCAGTGGTGTCTGTTGGGACTGGGACATAAGGTTGGGGGAGAGATAGGACTGGGTTATAACAAGGAGGGGAGGTGTTCAGCTCAAGGAGAGGGGGGGATTGGGTTGGGAGTATGCCCCTGTTACAGGTCTGCCGGGACCAGCACTGCATCTGGCGGCGGCGGGGGAGTGCATGGGGAACAGCGCTGCGAGTGGTGAACTCTCCGATGCTTTGCAGGGACGTGGGGGAAGCCCCGCACAGCGGCCTGCCATGGGCCGGCTGGGGAAATTGTGTTATTCTGGGGATGGTTGTGTAATTCAAAAA